CCAGACCACAGGGGTTCCAAACATCAGCATCACTTTAAATCCTGCACAACAAATACACTCACTTCTCCAGGAAATAAACTGCAGGTGCCCAAAGCAGCCTGGCACAAAATACATCCCCAATCATCAGCTCTGCCAGAAACTCACGCTTGTGCATGGAGTTCCCCAGTGCTAGAGAGAGAGAGAGAAAACACCCTCCTCTCCCAAGGCACGCCCTGTGTGCATGTGGCTGCACTGGGTGTATAGGCAGCGTCTGTCTCCCTAGTCGGGGGGGTTTCACACACCCGCTGGCGAGAGAGAGCACTAAAGCAGGAGCCTGTGGTGGGAAACAAGGCACAGGACTCGCACTGCTTTGTGTATACTGACTAGATTTCAACTGGGCAGCTCTGCTGGTAGGCACAGCTCCTGGACCAGACCCTCACACCCCACAATGCTGCTTACTCCTATACTCAGACAACTACGCACAGGGTCTCCCCCAGGTTGGGCCGGGGAGACGCCTCTCGAGCACTGTGTGACTGAAGGTGCGGAGTGCTGGAGAGGGAATGCAGAGCCCCCCATGGCAATGCTTAATTCTGTTTACACCACGCAGCTAATACTGGCCCACGCTGCTTTCCCCACTGCCTTCTCTGGGGTGCACTCAAACTCATTTCCCTGGGGCCACGATTTACTTCGCTCCGGACACGGCACGGCACCCAGCAGCTCTGCCACAGAGCCAGTGCTGTTGGCTGAGATAAACCAGACCAACGGAAGGGGCCCGCCGGGAAGAACCAGAAACCCAGCCAAACAACTGCACATAAGAGGCTGGATTTGTACCTAGGCAAGATCTCTCCAGGGAGGCAGCACTGAGGGGGGGTGTGGAGCCGAGCTGGGCAGTGCACCGACATCAGCACATCCTGGAACTTAGGGCAATGACACATCAATCCAGCCTGAAGTGTCACCTTCATCCAGGGCCTGTTCCGAGAAGCGCTCAGACAGCGGCCATTCACACGCACTCTGCTAGTGCTCAGCCACGGACATACGCCTGCCCTCCAACACAGGGGGGAGATACCATTTAAATATGTACAAAATTATCCCTTCGGTTTCTGCAGCAAAGTGCTCTAGAGATCACATACCGGGGTCACTCCTGCAGCCACCTCTGGGGTGGAGCACACAGCAGGTCTCTGCCAGCGACACTATACAACACGGTTTGCAGAGAGGAAGCAAAGGAGAAATTCCTCTTACTGAAAAGAGAGGCAGGAAGATGCAGCCTGGTCACAACACACGTTTGCGTTCAAATTTCTACTCATTAACAGCAGATTTTCAACCAAACATCTGAAAATCAGATCCTTCCCCCTCCTTTCACGGACCTGCGCAGACACATGCTGCTTTCCCTGCAAGAACGCCTGGCCTCGCTAACACACAGAAGGAAGTGCAGGGGCCCGTACCCCGGGTCACTCATTACTGGTGCAGCCAACTCAGGGAGGTGAAACACAAACGGACTCCTGGCAGGTAAGTAAAAGCGGAAATGATTCCCCAGGAAGGTGGTTAAGTACAACCCTCCGCAGCCCTTATTCGAACGACAGGAGCATTCGTCCACACAGGACAAGCACTGCTGAGCGTGGCTCTGAATGTGCCCAGGAACAGCACTGCCAGACTAGGCACTTGGGTGATCTACACAAAAGCAGACTGAAAACAACCTGTGTGCAGAGCACTGCAGCGTAACACATTCAGCACTTACTGGATCAGTTCCGATAGGGCCCTGTGGCTGCCCGAAATGCCAGTCAATCAGTAAAGAACAATCCTGCAGGCCCTTACACCTCTGTGCCAACCCAGCCCCGACGGGCAGGGAAGGGCACAGCACACAGCCCTGAAAGGCCACGTCTCCTCTCCTGAGCGATGGTGGGAGGGAAGAGCCCATACCCTCAACTCCAGCACTGTCTGTGCAGCACCCTCACAATGGGGCTCCGAGGCTGACGGGTCTCCAGGGGCTATCACAACAACCCGTGGCATGGAGCTGGATTCTCTCCAGCAGGGCTCCAAGGGCTGCCTGCAGCCCCCCCTTGAAACAACGAAGGGGAAAGGGTTGGCGAGTGGGGTATCTGCATTCCCCACCTGCACTGGACCAGAACCATGAGCACCCCACTGCACTGCCATCTCTGCCCACGACGACCCTCGCTAGCTCAGACACCTGCTCTGCGGGATTCTGGGCCGGAAGAATGTATTGCCGTGCCTATCGCTGACAGACACAACCTCACGCACACTCCACCGACCAACCAAGCGGAGAACCACAGCGGCTTCCAGCTCTCCCAGGAACCGGGCCACCAGGTCCCACCGCCCCCACCCCTTGCAGGAGAACCTGGGTGGACCCCCCCCTTTTCCACACGCTATAGGAACTCTGAGGTGACGAGTGGGGAGGCCCAGCAGTGCGAAGGCAACAAGCCCCGTTTGACGTGTGCAGTCGCAGGGGGACAGAAGCGTGAGCCGCCTCAGGGACACGGCAAAGATTTCGGGAGCTGAGCGCTGTGGGGAGGCAGGCAGCAGAGTGCTGCAGGGGGTAACGCACCCGGGGGCACCCACAGCTGCTCACCTCTATGGAGAGGCTCAGCATACGCCGAAGGAAGAGACCTAGGCCTGGATTCACCCCTGGGTATAAGCAGGTGCATTTCTCACTGGCTTCAATGGGAGCTGGACTCGCCGCCGCAGGCTCCTAGAAGCTGCATGACGAGCGAAGCCGGGCAATGCACTGCTGTGGCCAGAACAGGAGATAATGCTGCAGTGCCTGTAGAGAGGAGAGAAGGAGGAACAGAGCGCTCCCAACTGGCTGGAGCTCTGAGCCCTCTTGAGACTGGGAAGATCCACTGGAGGGCAGGCTATTCCCCAGCCTGCTTGAAACACAGGGAAGGGGCCGAGCAGAGGGAAGGGAGGGAAATGGGAGAGGAGTGATCAAACAGCCCCCGCTCACCCAGTGCCACTCCTGCAATGGGAACCCTTTGCAAAATTAAAACACAAGGACTGTGAAAACAAAGAGTGAAAAGGAAACATTTCCATCCTATAGCCAGTCCGGGGCAGCCACTGAAGGGCACGTCCTATGGCGGGGTGAGCACCTGGCCAGCGATGGCATTAGCAGCTAGCAACTCCCGATAGCGCGACTGCTGTGGGGCTGGGGGGGGCAGCTGTGCCCTCTTGAATGGTGCTCCACAGATTGGCCAGATACTGTATGGAGGGTGCTCGCTTTCCAAGGAAGCAACAGCTAGGAGCCGCCGTGTGAAGTGGAAGAGCAGATTAGCGGAGCCAGCCGACGCCAGGTGGGACATTGCCATGGCCTGTGGTGGCTGAATCCCCTGTAACACGCAGCACATGGAGGCACTGCTCCGGCACCCCAGAGCCGACCCATCCCAACGGTCCAGAGGATGGCTCTAGGCATCAGCTGGCAGAAGGCTGTGGGTTGGGGGACCTGGAAAAACCTGATTTCACCGGTGTAAGGGAAAGGGAAGTCAGGCCCCGGGGTCCAGCTGGTGCTGCAGGGAGAGGAGCTTCTCTGACCCCCCCTGCTGCTGCCTATGCATTACAGGCAATAGCTTAATATGCTGCTCCCTCATTGGACGCACAGCTCGTCCATGCATGCAACAAAGTGTGCGACCTTCTGGTGTGCTTGTGTGTTAACAAAACAGGGCTTCCCGGTAACGAGAGACCTCCCACAAACAGCCTCAGCACTTTGGATCGACTCTCCTCTGGAGAAGGGGGGGAAATGTCCCTTTCTGTTTTCATGGTCTCTAGATTGAGAGTCCCTGTTAGTCAAGTGCGAGATGACGAAGGCTGTCTCTCTGTGCAGGGCGATGGTCACGCCCCATCCAGCACTGACAGTCGGAATTTTACAATCGTTCACATGCAATTGGCAATTCCCTTCCAACAGCAGAAGGCAGAACCAACTGTAACCAGTGAAGGCTCTGCCTTCAGATCACACCCAGCACCGTAACTGCAAGTGAGACAGGCATATTCCCAGCCTGTACCTGCCAGACTCTCCCAGTGAGGAGGGAAGGAGGCACCTACCCCTTGTTTTCTCCTGCTCCCCTGAACACAGAACTAAGCACGGAGACTCTAAGCAGAGAAAGATTTTATACCCTGCAGCAGATCATCACCCTAAAATCCCAGAAGAGCTGGCAAATCTGAAATCCAGGATGAGAAATAAATATACAGTGGCTTAACCCCGCGCAAACCACTCCCCAGAGACTAATCCCTTATGCTCTTGAAATGTTAAAAAAATTGCTGGGAACTCGTTTGATGAACCTGCTGCTGCTGTGCTGTGGTTCTCATCCATGCACACTCCCCTGGAGCCAGCAGAACGTTAGCAACACTCGATACATTCAGAATCACAGTGGGCGAGTTCTCGACCTAACCCGCAAGTCACTGGAATGTTCAGCAGCACTCAAGTGATGACGGTCTGGCCAGGAAATATTAAGTATCCGCTGATTGGCAGCCCCAGATCTTGGGTCGACAACCAGCCACAAATTCATTTCTTAAGTTAACAGATGGGGCATGACAGCACCTTCCCCCCGGCGCTCTTTGGAAGCAAACCCACAGGAAGCATTTAGCATTTCTGCTGATAGCGAAAGGGGGCGGCACCCAGAGAGCCGTCAGACAGACTCAGAGCTAACAGCCCAATCAGCCCTCCCCTACTTTCCATTTTCTTTGCCGAGGTCACCTGAACAGGATAGACCTAAACCCAGCTACGAGCTGGCAAGTCTCCATCTGGCATGGTGTTTCCAGAGACAAATGTGTGGCTATAATTCTGCCTGCTTCTGAGCTTCTCAAGAGAGCCCAGAACAGACAGGTAACAACACTGACGATGGGAAAGAAACCCGGGCACCTTTCGACAAAAGACTGACTGAAGGGCGAACCCAGCTCCAGAGGGGCGGAGGAGACGTGTCTTCAGACAGTGCCAGGGCACTGTGTGTGTGTAGATATATAGATATAGAATAAAGTTATAAAATTTGATCAAAATAAAACCAAGAAATGTACAGCTTGAAAAAGAGCAAAATATCACAGTGCATGAACGCCAGGAGAAAGTCACGCGCTCCCCACTGCACAGACACACGCTCCAGCACGTTCAGAAAAGCACAGCACAGAACACTAGCACCTGGCTTCGCTCAGCTCACCACGGGGGCTGGGAGGCGTCGTCCTGTATTTCTAAACACGGTTTTGTACTCGCGCAGTCCAACTCTGCAGAATGTTGCCAGGCAGCCAGCAACAGCCGTGGAGCAAGCTGCCCAAAGTCTGCAGGTACCGGCTGTGATACTGTTGCCGGACACTAGAGAATGAAAGTGGCTCTTACACATCTCCACAGCCTGGCAGCTGGTTCACACTTCTGTACTGAAGAGAAAAGTGACAAAAGGAAGGAACTCAGGGGACATTGTGAGAGGGGGACAATGGCTGGATTCTGATCACAGGGGACAAGTTAACCCTAAGGATCTTCTGTGCTCTCCTCCTCACTTCATCGTCTGACGACGAGCTGTCCACCTTAATGGCCCGGGATCTCAGCAGGTTCAAAGTGCTCTGACCTAGTTCAGGTTTATTCATGGCATTTTTCTTCTTCTTCTGTGGTGCTTCTTTCACCTCCTCGGCTCTTTTCCTTTTCTGCCCAACTGTCTCCTGACTACTGCTGTCTTTCCATTCAGTTCTCCCCATCGGAACTTCCTTGGCTTTATTTTTAAAGGCCTTGGCTTGTGACCCCCCACTGCAACACTGAGATGAGCTGCCTGTAATCCTACCGTTCAGGATTCCAGATGCTTTGCAACCATTACTCTCCTTTAGCACCCCACCTTTCGTTCCCTTCAGAAGCGTTACAGCTAGAGCGGGAGAATCTGGCGCTTTCTTAACTACGTGTTTATAGCCTTTGGGGTCGAACTGCCCTGAGGGTAGCTTAGTGTTCTGCCTCGAGGCACCCGATGCCTTGAGAAGCTTCAGGTCCGAGGGGGAGATTCCAAGATGCCCCTGTTTGTATTTGGACTCCAAACAGGATGCTGTGGCTTTCAGTGGGACCAAGGCTTCCAGAACGACAGAGAGTCTCATGGCTGGATACACGTCAGGGTACATATTAGCTGGGAAGCCCATTGCTGAGGCCTTCGATGTGCCTGACCGTGTCTCTTTCAAGGAGTTGAGCAGCAGGTTTGTGGCACTCCCTTTAGAGACAGGCTTGGTGCGAACGCTAGGAGAGCTGACTGAAACTTCCGCAAGTGTCCCAGGCACCTCGGCTGTCACGGCAGGGCTTCTAACCGGAGCTTTCGTACAGTCAGAGACAGCAGCGCCTGTGTTTGAATTGTCTCGCGTGCTCTCTTGTGTCTGGCTGGGAGTATCCGCCGTGCAGGAGCTGTACCCATAAACATCCTTGCTCCTTAAGACGGTGGGCTGGTAGCCTTCCTCCTTGAGGCCTTGGAGAAAAGCCACCAGCTGGGTTTCGGTATCTGAAAGGTCCTTGGACATGGGGTTGAAGACTCTGAGGGCTTCCTCCAGGGCTTTCTGTCCTGCAGAAGAGATTCTTGACCAAGAATGGACAGCTTTTTCTTCCACATTGTTCACCTCAATATTCATGGCATTAGGGTAGTAGGAGCTTCCAATAGGTCCAAATTCCTTGAAAACCAACGCTGGACACCTCAAAGGGAAAGAAAAGACAGTTAGCACAACCCAAACACCAATCTC